AGTTTAGTAGATATTTTTTATATATTCAAAACATGAAATGAATCACTTTTATTTTGGGAAAGTTATTAGTGTTTGAACTTGTGAAAATTTTTCCAAAATTTTTTGTTACACGCTATATATTACAATTGTAACCAATCAAATCAATTAACGAATTTTATCTTTTGTTTCCTTCTAAATAAGGGACACGTGAAAAGGACGGGGGACGGGAAGGTGTGGCTTGAACCCGTCCTATCCTTTTCACGTTTGGCCCTTTAACACTAGAAAAGGACGGGCAATGGTACGGGTGTTTTTCAAAATAATTAAAAAAGGACGGGCAATTATGAGGGACAGGCATGGCGCGGGTCAAGGCACAGCAACCCGTCCCCCGTCCTTTCTATTATTCATTGGGGAAATCTTGAAAAGGGACGGGTTACTGTGCCATTACTGCCCATCCCTAATGTTTTCTTAAAAAGGACGGGCATTAATAGTACTTAAAATATTGTATAATAAATAATAAAATAAATCATTTCAAATTGTGCAAGGCATAATTGGAAAATATTATTATTATGTACTAGCCATAAATTCGTATTAATATTAGTAATAAAAAATAAACTGATATGTGCCAAAAAATATAATAAATCTATTACCAAATAAATGTGGCATTGGCATTCTCATTATTTGACAATCTTGATTAGTACCAAATAACAATGCATTTATTATTAAAAAAACGTGGCATTCATTTTGATTAGTATTAAATTTAAAGTTTTGTATTAAAAAGGTTATTTATAGTGGTGGCAACAATCAATATCTGAATCTAGATTTTCATGTTTTTTGACACTAAACAAACATTTATTATTAAATAAACGTGGCATACATTATTTATGATCTTGCATTCATTAATTAAAAAAACATGGCATTCATTTTTGATTAGTATTAAAATTAACATTTAAAGATTTGTATTAAAAAGGTTATTCCCCTTCTATTTATAGTGGTGGCAACAATCAATATCTGAATCTATATTTTCAATGATTTTATTTTATACAATTTTGTCTCAAACCAAAAGATTATAAATAAAAATAAAAATCAAGATTTTAAATAAGGAATAAATGGATATGGGATATTATATTTATGACAAACAGCTTTCACCTGTGTTTGCCCATTAATAATAAAAAAAACAGTGGGACAAAGTGGTAATGGCACAGTAACCCATCATTTGTTTGCCTGTCCTTTTCAAGATTTTCCCATAAATAATATAAAAGGACATGGGACGGGCAGTAATGACGCAGCAACCCATCCATTTCAAGATTTCCCCAATGAATAATAGAAAAGGACGGGGGACAGGTTGCTGTGCCTTGACCCGCACCATGCCCGTCCCTCATAATTGCCCGTCCTTTTTTTAATTATTTTGAAAAACACCCGTACCATTGCCCGTCCTTTTCTAGTATTAAAGGGCCCAAACGTGAAAAGGACGGGGGACGGGTTCAAGCCACACCTGCCCGTCCCCCGTCCTTTTCACGTGTCCCTGATTATTATGTTATTTATTATGGAAAGTCATGCACATACAAGAAAGATAATAAATAAATGGATGGGAATTCATCTCAAAAAGTTGTTGTCACTCCTCCAACTAATAGCAATTATAATACAAGTAGCTCACAAGAACCATTAAATAATATATGAGATATTGTAGAAACTAGTGATAAAGTAATCTCTACAATATTAATAAAACCAGAATAATAATGTGTCACCACAATTTGTTCATAATGATGATGACAATGATGACAATGAGTCTTTTTGAGAATAATGAAGAACAGGATGATCAACCATTATCATTTATAAATCATTCAGATTATGATGATGATTACGATGATGGATCTTTAACAGATAGTAGTGGTAATTATTTAGTATCCTCTATACACACAAATGAACTAGGTTCAGATAATTCGTTGGTTATACATGATGATGTTGACACATTTTTCTTATCTCAATCATCCGGATTATCAGAAGATAGTGGTAGTATAGTGTCTTATCCTAATAGTGATGTTATGAATTCATTAGTAGCTACACCTGAAATTTCATATCAAGATGAACATGAACGTAAAGTTCCAATCATGCCAGCTCCTGGTGAGACTATAGAACAAATTCTTGCACCATTAAACGAAGATGAAATTTATTATGATAATAATAATAATAATAACAGCAATAGAGTTGAATATACACCTATAATTACAAAAGTTGATGAAAATGAAACTGATCCACCACCAATTTTTATTATTAATAATGAAGTTGAGCCTTCTTATTCTTCTTCTTCAAAAACCAAAAAAGTATCATCATCATATTCAAACATAATCATGTCTGATCTATTATTAAGACACAATTATTTCAATGCACTACTTGGTTTTCAAAATATTAGTGTTGATGAAATTGTTTTAACAATAATTCAGAATCAATAATTTTCCCATTTATACAAGGGTTTGGTTGGGGAATTGGAGTTCACTTTTATTGTTATTTAAGAAATATTTCAACAAGGTAAGAGAGAGTGTGTGCAGGAAAAAAAGATATATAATATATATTAGAAATTGAATTTATTTTAATGATCATTTACCAGAAATAAATTAAAGTCATGAAGATAGTTGTATGTATAGTCCAATTTAGTAAATAATTGTTTTTATTAGTATAAATTATTTTAATAAACTGTATAATCATTATCAGTCATTTTATATATTCTTCTTATATTTAGTACCTGAGTTCAAAACTAATCAAATTAAACACTGGATAATTATTTCCAATAAGAGTCATATTAGATTCCTGCTTGGCTCTGGCTGCAAGCGGTAGGCTCATTTCTATTCCAAAATAAATGTATGTAATAAAAAATTAATGGATATTAAAATTGGGTAACAATGCCCTTGAAGATTATGAGATATTTTCATTGCATAAAAATTCTTTTTTATTAATGGTGGTGGTAATAGTTGGTAGTAATAGTGCTAAAGATGACGAAGATACTGGATCAGAAAAAGCTCTTTGTACTTCTCCTACCCCAATTAAGA